GTATTTGGTGTCTGTCACATCTTTGCATCCTTCAATGACACTTTTGTCCATGTCACTGATCTTTCTGGCAAGGAAACCATCTGTCGTGTGACTGGGGGGATGAAGGTGAAGGCTGATCGCGATGAATGTGGCCCAGGATGTGGTGCAGAGGTGCAAGGAGTTGGGCATCACCGCCCTGCAGATCAAACTCCAGGCCACAGGAGGAAACAGGACTAAGACCCCTGGACCTGGCGCGCAGTCAGCCCTCAGAGCACTTGCTCGCTCGCGAATGAAGATCAGGATTGAGGATATCACTCCCATCCCCTCTGACAGCACCCACAGGAAAGGAGGTCATCACAGTCGCCATCTGCAAACAAGACCCAAGTTGCTTTCTGTTAATAAATTACCTTCGTGTAAGCTAAAAAAAATAAAAATAAAAATAAAATAAAAATAACATAGCTAGGAAAGGCAGAATTCACATCTAAATCTGGCTTGTGATCTATGCTCTTTTCTGTTACCTTCTCAAAAGGAGTTGAGGAGGATGAAGCTTCCAAGAAACAGTACCTGAGGTGTCAAGAATGTATCCTTTTCCAGGCACTGCTCCAGTTTCTCTATACTCACATGAGTTTCCCAAACTGCTGCTTCACCTTAGGAATCTCTTCAGCCTCAAAACAGCACTTGAGCTGCATACTGTCCCATGATAGAGGCTTAACCCTCCACTGAGAGTGGAAGAAGTAAATGAGACTGAGAGAGTGGATGGAATAATACTTACTGAGCAGCTACTACATGAATGGTAATGTATTGATGAAGGACCTTAGGTCACAGAGAGTCCATAGATTGCTTGGTGCTTCTGTTATATATTCTGCATAACAAACCACACAAAACTTTGCGATTTAAAGCAGCAACAATGATATATTACTTCTGTAGGATTCTAGAACCTGGGCTGGGCTCAGCTGGGCAGTTCTTCTGGCCCTGTGGTGTCTACTGGAACTAAACACCCACCAGGCCTTTTTCACTCACATTTCTGGGCTGGATTGGCTAGAACAGCTGGGAACTAGACAGACATTCTTCTCCTGTTCCCAGTAGTTTCTCCAGTGTAGCCAAACCTCGTATGCAATGGCTCGGGGTTCCAAGAGAACAGCAGCAGTACGGGAGCATTTCTGCAGCCTCTGTCAGCTAACACTTTAACAGCCATGCAAGTCACATGCCTACTCTCAGAGTCAATTTTAAAGCAGATTGTATCATGTCAGCACCCAAAAAGTTTCAGATTTTGGAATATTTTGGGAATGATTTTTAGATTAAGGATGCTCAACTGCACTCTGAGGTTCACACTGATCAGTGTAGCCTGAATGATTTTTTAATTCAAAATCAAGGTAACACTGCTTCAAGTGAGTCAGGATTAAGATACCCCAAGATGTTTCTGCAGGGCTAGCTTGATCTACAGCTGCAATATGAACCCAAGGTGAATGCAGACATAATGCTATGAACCTGCTATGCCTGGGAGGCACAGCGGGCTGTGAACCTGAGAGGCATGATTCCCTGGGAACCACTGCATCCGGCTTCACCTTGGCCAAGCACACCCTCTGATAGCACACAGCATATCATATGGGACTTGTATTGATTATAGTGGTCCCTTAGGACTCATCATTAATTGGTTCTGGGAGGACCAACAGATAGTTTAGCTGGAAAGAGAAGTGAGTCATGAGGCCATTGACACCAACAAGTTCTAGCTTCCAACTTGAACATCGAATGATGAGTAATGAGAGAAATTTTTCACATCAAAATGTATGGAGTACTAAATTCAACAAGTTTCAAAGCAGCTGAGTATCAAGGTATGACTCCGTTATGTTCAGTACCACTCACAAGATCACAAGTTCAAAGGGGCTCTTGTTATATATTCTATATAACAAGTGCTTAAAACAGTGGTGCTAGTTGTGACCCGATACCATACCATATTTGTTAACCAAACACTGAGGAAATCTTGAGAAACCTTGGTTATAGAAGCACGACAAGTTTAGAATGATAATGATAATGAAAAAAATTAATGTGTTCTAGAAACACCTTTGGAATGGCTTTTGCCCTTTGCAGGCTTACAGACGCTGGGAGATTATAACATTGTAGCTGGAACTCTGAGCAGATGGAGAGGGTCTATTATAAAGAAATCAAGACCATTTGATGCAGCTATTCATGATGATGTACACATAGATATGATGCAAAGTAATGATGATACTTGATTAACTAAAAATAGATTTTTCAGAATTTTATGTAGAGTTAAATTCCATTTGCATGTGTTTTTCAAAGTTCTGTGCTCAGATGCTAAAAGGTACATTTTTTTTAATTTCCCAGACAAGTTACCAGACACTGATAAACAATGATTAGTTCTGAGGAGAGGAACGAAGGGGTCAGACAAAGGAAGTAGGGTGATTTGAAAATAGTAATGGGTTCATGGAGCTTCATCAAACTATTCTCTCTACTCCAGCGCAGGCTTTTCCATTCAAAAAGGAACATTATTTGCCAGGCACGGTGATGCATGCCTATAATCCCAGCCCTCTGGGCAACTGAGGCAGGAAAATCACAAGTCTGAACCCAGTCTGGGCAACGCAGTGACTTAGTGAGGCTCTGTCTCAAAACAAAAAATAAAAAAGGGCTGGAGATGTAGCTCAGTGAGAAGATGCCTGGGCTCAACTGCCAGTACTTCAGGGAGGATGGAGAAGAAAGAGGGCTGAACCGGAAGCCGGAAGACCAACTAGGAAGCTAGTGCCAAAGTAGCTGTAAGATGAGGTTTAGCAGTTTAGACCATTGATAGTACTTGCTTTCTCTATGTGGAAAGGTTTCAAGTGATTGTAATTTATTTTTATTGTTGTTTATCCAAATATTTCAATATTTCATACTGATCACATGTAGCCTGAATGATTTTTTAGTTCAAAGTCAAAGTAACACTGCTTCAACTGAGTCAAGATTAGATACCCCCAAGGATATCTGAAGGGCTAGCTTGATCTACAGCTGCAATATGAACCCAAGGTGAACGCAAACATAATCCTCTCTAAGACTTGACATTCAGCATCTTAATGAAACAACTGCAATTCGGTTGCTTCAGAGTGGTGCAACTGGAAACGTAAGAACTGAGAGCACAGAAACCTGGACTGATCCTTACCAGCTATGGAATCAGAGGAAGGTCCTTCCCGGTGTCTGAGCCTCACTGTTGCGTTCCACTTCACTCATGCATTAATAATTCATTCACACAATCACTACTGAGTGTCCCTGTGGGCCACACACTTTTCAACACACTGAAGATATAAAAGTGAACTGACCAGGAGTTTACCTTGTAATAAGGAGAAAAAGACAATGAACAGAATAGGCAAATTCTACGATGTGTTCAAAAGTGGCAAATAGTCCAGAGAGAACTAAAGCAGAAACAGGCGGTAGGAGAAAGGTGGAATTTTAAGTAAAGCGGTCAGGAAAAGCCCACCATGGGAACAATATCTGAGCAACAACTTGCATCTGTAAAACAGGAGAATACTTCTAAGTTGTTTCAAAACCTATTAACACAGCATGGGCCTCACCTAGAAGCTTGGGAGGAGTGCAGAACCTCAGATCCCATCCCAACCCTACAGAATCAGAATCTGCACTTCAGTAATGTCTTCAGGTATTTTGTAAGCATGTCACAGTTTCGGAAGCATTAATTAAAGGAATGAACTCTTTTTGAATACTTACATGTATTAGGACCGGCACATTATCGTCACTCAATAGACAGGTTCAGTTATCCTTGGTTTTCCTTCCCTAAAATTAACCCTTTTATCTTTCTTGTTAAAAAATAGCATTGAGCTTCTAGCTAATGATGAATAATAATGAGTACATCTAGCCAACAGAAAGCCAAGTTGCAGACAGAAGACATGGATATTTTTTAATGATGCATGAAAAATCCTTATTACAAGAATTTTATCACTGGTGTCCAACTCCCAGTCTTGTCATTATGTATTTCACCACCAGAACCAACACACACATGTAAAAGTGCAAGAAAAATTGTACGTGTTCCTTGACATTTAAAGATCAGGAGTCTACTTTGAAAGGAGAAGCAGCCAAAATGCTGGGGGAAATCCTCTGGTGATACAGGGAAGGTAAAGTCTAGATAAAGACAAAACAAACAATAAGTAAATAAAGTAATTCACGTTGCAGACATGCTGTATCATTTTTGTTAACGAAAACAGCAGGTTTAAACAAGACAATATAAACCTGTATTAAACTTAATGTATGTTAGGTCCTTGCCTCCCACGTTTCCTATTTCAACCTTCCTGTTTCTCTTTCCTAGCAAAATATGAAATCACAGCTTATGCTTCCCACCTTTTTTTCACTCCTTACGTTAAGTTTCGAAAAGCAACCTGTATAGTCGGGCACAAATTACATTCTTCCGGCCCTGAACAGCAAATTAACATAAAGACAAGCAGAAATCTGCAAGCTGCTTCGTTCGTTATTTGCAGTAAAGATTATGAGGAAATTCCTCGAAAGTATCAAGATAAATTATTCAAATCTACACTAAAAGCATTCTCCAAAGTTAAAGATTAAAAATTTCTGTAAAGAGGGGTGGGATACAGCTCAGTGGTAGAGCAGTCACAAGGCCCTGGGTTGATGCCAGAAAGGACATTCAAAACCAAACACTGCTGGGGGGGCAAAAAATGTCTCTAAAACACCTTGAAGTGACTTAGACTTAAAGCCAAGGTGAACATTTTCTGAGACAGTAAATTATTACTATTTATGTTTTTCGGAATATTTTTCTAGTTTTCAAGGAGGTAGGTACGCAAGACTGGAAAGGAACAGAGGAGAAAAGCCGCTGCTGACGCAACGCCGAAACAATCGTTACTAGTCTCCAGAGTGTCTTTGGCTTTCAAACCTAAGGAAACGCAAGGTGTGGAACCCAAGACAGCCCCGCCTTTCGCCAACCCTTTCCCTTCCTCAAGATGGCAGCCCTAGCGACAGTATGGGCATGCCGCGCGAAGCACTCTGGGAGCGGAAGAAGGCCGAGCGGCGGCTGCTAAACCGGAAAGGGAAGACCTGGGCCTGGAGAGCCGGCGAAACAGCATTTTACTGTGTTTCTCCGGTCGATACGTTTTACGGTGTTTCTCGGGCCGCTGGAAGCCGGGCCAGGTGGGCGGGGCCTGCGGTGCCGTGATGCCGGAACTGGCGGTGCAGAAGGTGGTGGTCCACCCCCTCGTTCTGCTCAGTGTGGTCGATCACTTTAACCGGTGAGGCTGGCAGCGCGGGGCGGCCGAGCGCCGGGCCGCTGAGTCACAGGCACGCTGGGGGCCGCGCGGCGGCCGCGGGCGGGCTGGGACGCAGCTGGGGCGCGAGCAGCCCCGACGGGCGCAGGCCAGTCCCGGCTCGTGAGGCCGAGCGGCCCGGAGCCGCCCCGCGTCCCAGGCGTTCCGGGGCCCGGACTGCGCGCTCGTTACGCGGAAAGTGCTTGGCGCTGGTGCGTGGGGGCCGGGCTCGTGCCCGTCCGCCGCCGGGCCCGCCACCGAACGGCGCTCGGATAGGAGAGCGCTGGACCCTCGCGCTCGGGTGCCTCTGATGGTGGCCACTCGACACCGCTGGTCCGGCGTTCTGAAATCCCGCAACTGCGAAATACCGATGTGCGATATTCTGAAATACCAATATTCTATATTCCGAAATACCGATACGCGATATTCTGAAATACCAATATTCCGAAATTGTGAAGTACTTACGGATACCCCAAAATACCGTGCTCAGTACTCCGAATGGTTTCCTGTATGAGCGGTGCTGTCAATCCATGATCCCTTGTAAGAGAGAATCTGGTTTGACGATAGAAAAGTGTAAATGAAGTGGCTGTGGGGTTTTTGTTTTGTTTTGTTTTGTTTTGTTTTGCTTTGCTTTTTAATGAGCCGAGTTGGAGACTTGGGCGTGAACGAATAAGGGGAGTTCATCTACTGGGGAAAACATCCCAGTAGATCACTTGCTAAGCTTGTTGTGCGGTCACCCTGTGCTCTTGCAGCTGTTCATCCTACTAGAGCTGTTGCACGTGTTCAGAAGCTTTACAAGATCATTGAATCAGGGAAGACCCATCCAGGTGCATCGGCTTTGAAGGCATGCTTGCTAGTCGCCCTTTCTCTTGCGTCATGCTCTGTACAACTCCTTCAGCCAAACCCAAAACCTCACTCAAGCCTGGATAATGCTTATGGTCCCCCTCAGTTCCACTGCTTAGAAGTCCCCAGCCTAATAGGATAGGTGGGCTTTTCTGTTGTACCCTAGGTCCTAGCTCTCCATGAGATACTGGAGTCCTGCTGGAGCAGCCACCCTCCCTGTTGTGTTCAGACACTTAGAGCATTTTGCAAGCAGACACTGCTAGCTGTTTCAGCACATAAGAAATAGAGGGTTTTTAAAAACCAGTGAACTTTTGTAGATCCAAACAAAAGCCCAGGAATAGATTCCTTTGAGGTGTGGGAATTTCTGCCTAATAAGCCAGAGGCAGGAGGAGTAGCTTATACCAGTGGGTCAGACCACCTCCTAAACCTCTAGACTTCACAAAGAATAGGTCAACTGAGGCTTGTACATAGAAGGCAGATGTTCCAGAAAAGAATTGGCACCCTGGAAGCCATAAAACTGCTAGCATCTTTTATCCCTAAAGAAATGTGAGGATAAAGAAGATGAGGAAAGTATAAAGGAGAAAAGGAAAACTATGAAGGAAAAAGATAGTTCGAATTTTTTTCTGAGCTTGCATTACTTGGCAGTCAGTGGTAGGTAAAAAGGGCCAGGGTACATTAGTAAGCTCAGGAGTTCCTCCTTGCACTTAACATTGCAGAAGAATCTAACCCTATTTCGTTTAGGGAGATGAGTTCCCAGGGAAATTAAACTCTAGCTGTACTGTCGATGTTTGCCAGTAAGTAGCTAATTATTGTTTGGTCTGTGTATCTATGTGTTTTTTCACTCAGCATCGGCAAAGTTGGAAACCAGAAGCGCGTTGTTGGTGTGCTTTTGGGGTCCTGGCAAAAGAAGGTGCTTGATGTATCCAACAGTTTTGCAGGTAAAGAACAAACTACATTTTTCTGAGCATGCTTAAAATGTCAGTTTACTTTAAAGAAAAATAAACATTTATTGCCGGGTGTGATGGCACACATTTGTAATCCCAGCACTGGGGAGGCTGAGACAGGAAGATCACCGAGAGTGCAAGGCCAGCCTGGGCTACACAGCGAGACCAAACAAACATTATCTTTTTTTATCACAGCCCAAAGGTTCTGACTTGACAAAGTATTGTAAAGGAAACCTGAAGGCTACTCACTAGAGAAGACAGTAAATATTTTTAATTACAAGCCTTGTGGTAGTCTCGCAACTGTCTCTGCTAGTGGAATGCAAAAACAGCAGCAGCCAGTATGTAAACAAATAAGTGTAAGAACTTTACTTTTATGCTCTGCTTACTGCTTTTTTGATCAGAGAAACGACAATGGAGAACAAAGTAATTGCTGGTCTGGTTTCTGGATAGAGGTCACTAACTCCAGTGTCTGAGAGGACCAGCCAGTGATGTAATTTGCCGAACAGAAACTATTACAAATTGGTGGGGGTTTCAGCAAACCGAAGAGCACTTACCACTTTTTAACGGCTCTACCCAGCAGTTGGCAGGTTTTGGGAAATCTGGATTTTGGTATGAGTTCTAGCTTTGAATGAGGGCAACTCAAAATTTAATATTTCATTGGACAAATTAAACACATGAACATGAACCGGGTTTGCTCTGGGAATCTCTGTGCTCTGTATTTGTAGCTCACACCCTAAACTAAATCTTAATGTTTTGTCTTTCTGTTTAGTCCCTTTTGATGAAGATGACAAAGATGACTCTGTCTGGTTCTTAGACCATGATTATTTGGAAAACATGTATGGAATGTTTAAGAAAGTCAACGGTAAGTCTTGACTTTCTTAGACATTGTTATGGCGTGACGTTGGGGGGGTGTCCATGCGCATGTTTTGAACACATAACTGTCTGTGTTTCATATGAAGGTCCTTTTCCCTTAGCGAAACTTAAGTAAGATGAGTGGCAGCAGAGGACTGAACTAGAATAAATGAAAAGCTAGGCTAGTAATTTAAGGTCGGTAGTCCCAACTGTGTCCTTCAATCACAGCAGAAAAGCAAAGAGGTAGACCTTCAGCACCAGCAGCATGGAGCGTTACAGAAACTACACCACTTTGGCAGTTCATTCCTCCAGCACTCAGAGTTGTATATGTGACACGAATTTGCATTTGCTTATATATTGCCTGTGAACTGTTCTCTAGTTGTTTCATAGTCTCTTAAAGTAGTCTGGGGTAACAGGTATCTCTGGATCATACACAGTACTGCTTTGGAGCTTTTTATTTTTTATGCAGTACTTGGGATTGAACCCTAGGCGTTCACACTGAGTTATATCCCCAGCCTATTTAAAAAAAAAAATGTTGAAATAGATTCACGCAACTTGCCTCACCTGGGCTCAAACTTACACGCCTCCTGCCTCAGCTTCCCAAACTACTGGGGTTACAACTGTGTTCCACCACACCTGACAGATACCCTGCTTGTTTCCTCAGAAGTCTACTTTTGTGTTTTAGTTTTCATAAGTATGTCAAGGTTCAAAGTAGATGTCTGGAATTTTTAAGAAGGCAGAGGACTTAACTCCTGATACACTTACTCTTCTTAAGCAAGTTGTATAAATCTTCCTGAAACAACTAAAACTTAACTAATTTTTTCCTTCCCAGCCAGAGAAAGAATAGTTGGGTGGTACCACACAGGCCCTAAACTACACAAGAATGACATTGCCATCAACGAACTCATGAAAAGATACTGCCCCAACTCAGTAAGTGCTATCTGTCTTTTAAACTCTTGAATAACATGTTTCCTTTACCAGCCAAGGGCATCCTAAGAAGGATTTGGATAGTGAGTCAGCTCACTGCTTTTCCTTTATAAGCTTGTAGTATTCATTTGTAGTGTTCTGTGCAGTAACCTAATGGATTTAGTAATCTAATTAGAAAATAACAGTTAATGCCTGCAAATTGCCAGACACTTGACTGACTTAATCCTCTCAGGCTCACGGTGTTGAGTAAGGCCGGTAGGTGGGGAGTCCGGGATGGGGTGATGTCATGGCTCCCTTGACTGTTTCTCTTTTACGTGACCTCTCAACTTATTAATAGAAGGGAGTGAAGAATAAAGCAAATGATGGGATAATTTGAAATACAGACTCATTTTTGCTGAAAATTCTGTCTCATTTCTGATTAAATGAATGAAATCGCTCCCATAATCGTTAGAAGACTAGCTGGAATTAGCGCTTTTGTGTGGCGTGTCAGGTGGCTTACTAAGCTGTGCTCCTCCGCCAGGTATTGGTCATCATTGACGTGAAGCCAAAGGACCTGGGGCTGCCCACAGAAGCGTACATCTCCGTGGAGGAAGTTCATGATGTAAGTCACTTGCTGTGGCCCAGATTAGACTTGCGGCTGACTGAGCAGTTGTTTCTTGTTGCATTTGCAAGTCAACAAGTCCTTTCTCCCTCTTTAACAAAGAGAAGGTGATTCATTTCTGTTGACAGTGGGTCTTAAGTTTTTCCCCTGGAGTTTTCGAGTTACCAGGTTTGAGAAATACACAAGACTAAAGAAATCTGAAATCCCCTTTCACCAATGAAATTGAAGCCTACAGTAGTCAGATGATAGCTCAGAAGTGTCCGTGGCAAAGGAAATGCAGTCGGCTGAGCTCATCCCTAACCCTTAGAACTGCCGCCACCTCCACCGTGCCATTGTCTCTTCTCCCCAAACACTTCCAGCTCCTGCAGACCACACGCTAGGTTTTCAGAGAGAGGTGGGTCAGAGGTGCCGAGAACAAGATAACAAGACCAGCCGTGTGATCGCTTCACACCCGACCTGCACTGGGTACAAAAGTGGAGGGTTCGGGAATATTGCTTTCCTGTCTCCGGGGTGGAACTTGAGGAGAGAGAGTTTGTACTTAGGGCACCCACCAAAGTTCATCTTAACTTTCTGAAGTTCAGAGCTTGAGAGTTAGATTAAAGTCTGTTTTGGAATTTAGATATGTATTGCTCATCCTAAAATTTTGGAAAAGAATATTTTAGTACTGCCTCCTGCACACAAACCTTACACTAGCCCTATTTTCCTGCTTTTGTTTCATCCCACGAAGCCTAGTGTGATAAGGTTTTTAATCCCTGGTCTTGTGCCGCTTGATTTAGTTCATTTTTAACCCTGGCCCCTTAGAACATGAAACACAAGAATTAGTAGCTAGAAAGCTTGCCGTGAGCCCGGTTAGGTTGTTAAAGGCCCTGAACACCCCAGTATCCAGAGCAGAGCAGAGCGCTCCTTACAGTGTTCGCATTGTCCTACTTTAAATAAAGGAATGACAGCTAGCATTAGCAGTGCGTGGCATAAGTTAATCCCCTGCCAGTGCCCCACGGCTCCCACGTTCCAGGCCCAGGTCTGGCTACGGGGCACCTCGCAGGCACTTCAGCCTGCCGGGGAGCAGCACAGCCGCTGTGGCCCTGTGCGCAGTGTCTCAAGTCCCATCACACAGTGCCCAGCTGATGCAGTGAGCCACGTCCCCAGCGGAGCGTTCGGCTCACTCAGACCACCAGGAGGCCGGTTATTCTGACTGCACTGTTTGCGGTGTGCTGGGATCATCTGGCCCAAGGGACAGTAAACAGTTGCAAGTTGTATTTTCTGCCACGAGCGTGCCTCAGATGCAGGTGTTCTGTATTCTTTCCATTATAGGAAGCACTGTGGACATTAAAAATCGACGGGGATGTCCCTGGGCATCCACCCCCAGCATGGACTTGAGGGAATATCAGTATTTTTCTTTCTTATTAAAAAAAAAAAAAAAACTTGAGAAAGCAGCTTAGTGGCCACTAGGACACGCAAGCACACTAACTGTAATGCCGCAGCAGAGCTCAGCGTTGAGTACTGCCACAGTACTTGGTGCTTTGAAGGCTGAGCTCTCAGGGCAAAGCTGACCCACCTTGCTGCGGGCAGCTCGGTAACGCACCCATGAAACGCGCTCGCTGCGAGAGAGGGCCGCGCACCAGTGCTTGTTGAAAGTGAATAACTACAGCTCAGCCTCTCTCCCAGGATGGGACTCCCACCTCGAAGACGTTTGAACACGTGACCAGTGAGATCGGAGCAGAGGAGGCCGAGGAGGTTGGAGTGGAGCACTTGCTACGGTAAGGCGCAGCGCAGCATGTGCAGACGAAGCCAGACCCGGAGTCTGGGGTCCTGTGTGTGGGTTCTGCTGCATCCAGCCACAAATGAGTCTCTCATTCTCAGCATCACAGGCCTTTTCAGGGTCTGTTTGCTCATCTATAAATTGCGGTAGTTGGACTGTGTCATCTCTAAAGTCACTTGAGTTAGGCTGTGCGATTTTGTTGATCACACACCTTGTCTAGAAACCAGAATGTCGCTGTCAGGGGCAGGTACGTGGAATGAACGCAGGCCTGCGACGTTCCTTCCGAGGAACAGGATCTGCGCGCTGCAGGGGATCTTCCTCTTGGGGCGGGCTTTGTTTTAAACTCCTCTGTGTATAATCCTTCCTTGAAAAAGTTGTAGAGTGTATCAAACAGTAAGGTTTCTTCCTGTTCTGAAAATTACGTCTGATTTAAGCTCAAACACCCTAGAAATGCAGGTAGAGAGAGTGCCATCCTTTATAGGGGCCAGAAAAATGAGGGGAAGAATTCTGGTTTTTTGAGACAGGATCTCACCGTGTAGTTCAGCCCAGTCTCAGACTCACAGTCCTTTTTCTTGGCCCCTGGTGCTGACCAGTAGGTACACACCACCACACCTGGCTAAAAGAGCTCCTTAAGTTTCATTTTAACTTCGTTTTATAATCTTTTGAAAAATGCACTGTTAGGAGAAACATAAAATATGGACCCCCAAAGAAAAACAAAACTGAAGTAATTTATACCCAGCTATGTCGAATGGAGAAGTTACATGTTAGGGCTGAGGGTGGAGCTCAGTGAGAGAGCACTTGCTTAGAGCACATGAGGTCCTGGGTTCAATCCTCAGCACTTCCCCAAAGGAAGTAATATTTCCCTTGTGAAAACTTGCCCCTCTCTACAAAGCTAGGTGTGTCCTTAGACTAGGAGGACCCGTGTGGCAGGACGAACAGTTCCTGACACTTCTTTGCCTTTGTCGTGGGTTGTTACAGAGACATCAAAGACACTACAGTGGGCACTCTCTCCCAGCGGATCACAAACCAGGTCCACGGTCTGAAGGGACTGAACTCCAAGCTGCTGGATATCCGGAGCTACCTGGAAAAAGTAGCCACAGGCAAGCTGCCCATCAACCACCAGATCATCTACCAGCTGCAGGACGTCTTCAACCTGCTGCCCGACGTCAGCCTGCAGGAGTTCGTCAAGGCCTTTTACCTGAAGACCAACGACCAGATGGTGGTGGTCTACTTGGCCTCGCTGATCCGCTCCGTGGTCGCCCTGCACAACCTCATCAACAACAAGATCGCCAACCGGGATGCGGAGAAGAAGGAGGGGCAGGAGAAAGAAGAGAGCAAAAAGGATAGAAAAGATGACAAAGAGAAGGAGAAAGAGAAGGAAAAGAGCGATGTGAAGAAAGAAGAGAAAAAGGAGAAAAAGTAAAACGCGTGGATTCTTTAGCCAGGCGTGGCGGTGCACGCCTGCCGTCCCGGCTCTCGGGCGGCTGAGGCTCTTGGGAAGGATGACAAGCTGGAGGGGCCGGCCCGGGCTCTCCAGGGAGCTCCGGGCCGCCTGCACTACAAAGTGAGACCGACAAAAAAAAATGTACCCTTTTAAACTTGTAAATTAAAATCTCACAACTTAAGTCCTTGTGCACCTGAGGGTTTTCTTAAAAAAGCTGTCCTTGCGAGAGCCCTCCGCTGCCAGTCGCCCCTGTAAGGCATTACGCTACGGTCAAGGGACACAGGGCCTGTGCACCGGGGAGTGCAGTAGCTGAGGCTCCACGCTGTAGGAAAAGTGAGGAGAAATCAGCGTTTGGTACTCTGCGTTCTTTTATCTTTGAAGCCCGGCGTGGTGGTGCACACCTGTAATCTCAGCACTCGGGAAGCTGAGGCAGGAGAATCACCAAGAAGTCAAGGCCAGCCTGACTACATAGTGAGTTCAAGGCCAGCCTGGACTACATAGTGAGTTCAAAGCCACCCTGCACTACAGAGTGAGACCCTGACTCAAAAAAAGGGCATTAAATCTTCCCCATCTTGAAAGATTCTTGGGGTCTGTCTGGGGGGGTTGGCAGTATTGCTAACTGGAATGCATGGACCCGCTCCATTCTCTGCCTCCCATCTGGGGTTCTTGAGCTCTGTACCACATTCTGGACCTGCAGCTGTAGCATTCTCGGGTCTTGGGATCTAGCTGTATACACTGTTTTCCTGCAGACACCCAATTAAATGGCTTGGTTTTTAAGATTGTTCTAGAGGCTTGCGACTTTGGGAGAGTGATCCCTTGTTTCCAGAAGCAAGCTAGATGATTTTTCATTGAAGCTACCTTGAAGAGTCCTTTAGATTTGGTATCTGCCCGGCATGACTGCTATGTCTATTGTCCCAGCATTCAGGAGGCTGAAGCAGGAAGATCTCTATGAGTTCAAGGCCAGCCTGAACTACATAGTGAGACCCAGTATCAAAACAGCAAAAGATTTGGTATCTTTAATAAAAGGCAGGGTCTCATCCTTGAGATAAGGTAAAAACAGGCACCCTGCTACAGTGAGAGCTCTCTGGTGCCTCTGGAAATGCCAGGTTCCAGTTTGTGCCTCAGTTCCTCACCTGTGCAGTGGGAGGTTGGAGGTCAGTTTCTCCCAGGGGGCACACTCTTGCCGCTGCAGCAGGCCTTCAGCGCATCAGGCCACAGGTGGACGGGGATGTTGCTAAGAGTAAAGCTCTTCCTAGGGTGCGGGCACAGGCCTCCTCGGGAGCCAGGCAGGTGTGTGACCGTTTGACACGGTTCTACCTGGGTTTAGTTTCCTTCCTTGAGCTGCTAGAAGTTCCTTCAGAACTGTCTAAGGCACTCCATGGGTTATCTGGGTTCAAAAAATTTAGGAGTACCATAAAATAGCAGAAAGTAGTCGGATGAATCTTAGAAACCACTTCCTGAGGTTTTAATGCATTAAAGTGGTCCCTGTGGAAGGGTCAAGGGGGCAAGTACACATCTGAGTTGAGGCCACACTGGATTCAGGTCTGTCTTTTATTGTGTGGAGTTAAAAAGCTTTCCCAGGGCCAGGAGTGGTGGTGAAGTCCTGTAAACCCCGCTACAGTTAGGGGTTAGGGTGTGCGAGAGAAGGGGGAGGGTCACAAGTTTGAGGCCAACCCCAAGTTAGCAAGACCCTGTCACAAGAAAATATAAAGGGCTGAGGATGGAGCACCTGGGTTCAGCCCGCAGCACTGAGAAGGGAAGAAAAGGCTTCCCCAAGGAAACGGTACCATGCCATGGGGTTTGAAGCTTGTCACAGTTTAATGGAGCATGTTTTATTGAGCATCTAAGAAAAGAACATCCAGGCCTTACTATCTTTAACTGTTTGACCTGCATGTTGGGAAAACAGACTTCTACCTTCCTAACGTGACCTTCTGATTCTAACAAAAACAGTTTCCAGCCTGTAGAGCCACTTAGGTACATTTCCAAGACCACATTACCGCCACCATAGTAAGGAGTCCCACCTGCTGTGGATGAATTCTGCATATTCGCACCCCAGCCCACTGACAGCTGGACCCATGGCCCGCACCTACAATGGAGCCTTGCATGTGTATAATCTCGCAGGCCCCAGAGATTTCTAAGTAACTTGATGTGAGAACACTGAAAAAGTCTGTGCCCAAGGCTGGGTCTGCTCTCCAGAGCAGAACATTAGCTTCACTGCCATTACACCACATGTTCAGGGTGACAGAGTCCAGGCTGCCCCGTCACCCTTATGGAAGAAGGTGGCATTTACCCTGCTAGTTTTCTGTCTCAAAATATCTGAAATCCCTACATGTATGCCTTAGTTATCCTTTTTTTTTTTTTTTTTTTTTTTTTTTTTTTTTTTTTTCTGTTTTCCTCCGGTACCGGGAACCGAACTCACGACC